CAGAATAGAAGAGAGTTGCAGATCACCTCTTCCTGCACGCCTCTGAACACTTGGATTGAATGTCAAGATTTAGAAAGAAACGCACAATACATCAGATGACTAGAAATCACAGCAAGGTCACAAGAAATAAGAGAAAGCAAAACAATATCTCTCCTCCAAGGGAAAAGAATAACTCCTTTTCATCCTCAGACAGTACAATAGAACTAATGAATATGTCTGATAAAGAATTTAGAATATTCATAGTGATAAAGCTGACAGAGATGAAAGAGAAGAGAGACAATGAACTGCAGAAGAGGCAGGAGAAAGAAGCTGATGAGTTCCAGGAGGTGATGGAGTTCTTGCAAGATCTGAAAGAGGAAATATATGCCATAAAAAAGAATCAGATGGAATTGTTAGAGATGAAGGCAATAATATATGAAGTCAAAACCTCCCTTGAAAGTATTAAATTCAGCCTAGATCATATAGAAAATTAAATCTCAGATGTAGAAGATAGAAAGGCTGACCTAGAAAAATCCACCAAAAAGACAGAAAATTGCCCCCAAAATGAGAATAATATACAAGAAATATTAGATATCATCACATGTCCAAACATCTGGATAAATGGTATCCCAAAAGGCAAAAAGACTCATAAGGGCATTGATAATCTATTCCATGAAATCCTGGAAGAAAACTTTCCAACCTTAGAGGGGCATTCAAAGATCCAGTCCCAAGAAATACAAAGGACCCCAAATAAAATCAACCCAAGAAGATCTTCCCCAAGATGTATTATAGTCAGACTGACCAAAACCACAAAGACAAGATACTAAGATTGGCAAGAGAGAAATATCAAGTTACCTACAAAGGATATCCCATCAGGCTCACAGTGGACCTCTCACTGGAAACAATGCGAGTGAGGAAAGAATGGGAAAATATATTCAAAGTGTTAGAGAAGAGCAATTTCAACCAAGAATAGTGTATCTGGCAAGATTATCCTTCATATGGGAAGGAAAGACATGGACATTCTCAGATAAACAAAACTGAAAGAACTTACCAACACCAGACCAGCTCCCCAAGAAGTTCTGAAGAGAGTGCTATACCAGGAGAACTAAATACAGACACACAGAAATAGGAGTTCAAAAACAACTAAGAAAAGGTCAACTTAATGGAAGTGACAAGTCTGAAGTTGAAATATTATATCTCAGAACTTAATTGGTAAGATCGGACCACAACAGAAGATAGGTTAAGTACATGAGACTGAACTGGTTAAACAGAATCTTATAACTTTTTCACTCAAACATTACTGATTTTCTTCTAGGCTTTGTTTTACGGATTTAAGAATTTTTGTCTTGTCTTGAGCTGCTGATAGGTTCATGTACTTACTATTTGAACAGAATCTTAACCTGTTTCCTGGCTTTAAGTTTTAAGCAAAGCTCTCTTAGCATTTCTTT